GACTCAGTCTAGTATTAATGGAGTTTAGTATTAAGAAGTTAGAGGGAGCCTTGTGTAGATAACAGGGATAAGTGCAAAGATATTTCAGGAAGTACTGTGTTTTTACTGACCTGCTGGAAAATGTTTAAAGATTGCTCCCAAATTAAAATAAACTATTTTTTAAACTTGATTTATAAAGTTTTAAAAACCTTATTATTTCCTCAATACAACTATCTCAGAGACTTTAAGCCACCAACATGATGTCACATCTTATGCAAATTCAGCTCTTAGTCCCAAATCTAAAACTCATAGACCAATGCGAGGGCAAGAGGCTTTGTTTTCTTTTGCTAAGTTAAATGCCATGTTAAAGAATCACTCCAGTGATGTTACATGCTGTAGCATGCACAAGAAGGAATTGCAAACTTGCTAGAAATCCAAGAGGTCAACCTCTGGGCAGCCAGCACATAAACTTCCTCAGAGGGAGGTGAGCATTGGGTGACTAGTGATCCTGGAGAGGAATTCTACAGGATTCCTCCTCGGGGAAGTGTGGCTAGATCTGCTGACACAGACACTCATACCAAGAGGGGCATGTCCTCTCTCTCCCCACTTGCACGGATATTATGGCTACTAAAGGGCTTCTTTTGCAAGGTGGCAAAATATCATGTATACAGTTTTTGGTTGCTCAATAAGACAGCCACAGGTTGTAAAATTCAGTTTTCTGGATCATGTCTGCTCACATGGACGCCTGACTTGTAATGCATCTCTACAGACAAAGGTCTCCATGAAGTACTCCTGAGAAAGGGCTGTAGTCTCAATGAGACCAGGCTCTGGGCTGGGCTAAGCTTAGACTAAGCACTTTCCCTATATTATCTTTTTTTAAAAAAAATATTTCATTTATTATTTTTATTTTATGTGTATGTATGTATTGTCTGCATGTAGGTAAATGCACCCATGTCATGCAATGCCCACGGAAGACAGAAGAGGCTGTCGGATCCCCTGGAACTGGAGTTATGGACAGTTGTTAGCTGCCATGTGGGTGCTGGGATTTGAACCCGGGTCTTATAGAACAACCAGTGTTCTTAACTGCTGAGCCATCTCTCCAGCCCCCCTACATTGTCTCTTAAACCACCCAACAACTCTGTGAAGTAGCTACTATTGGCTTTGCCCTGCTTTGCAAATACAGAGGCTCAGAGATGTTAAATTGCTTGCCAAAGGTCAAAGAATTCATAAATGCTTGAGCTGGGATACAAACCAGGACTGTCTGACACCTAAAGCCTACATTAAGAATCTCTAGACTGGCTCAGGTCAAGGATTTTAATAAAATTGTAGCTGTTTAATGTACTAATTGGGCAGAATGAGCTCAAAGTTTCCAATGTAGGAAACACTAGCCTAACTGGGGAAGTTGGGGGACTTGTGAATGTTGCTGGAGGGGACCAGGACAAAGGTAATAGAAAAGAATGTGTCCACATGCTGTCATGTTGAATGGGGTAACTTAAAGAGGCTGTGTATTGTAATTGGTTCTTTCTATGTAGACACAAGCTTGAATTAGGCCAGCCGTTCAGAATGCCCTTTCCTGCCCTCTTTGTAGCTTGTTGCCCCCTTTATATAAACTGTAAATTGGATGCTAAGTTCTATGACAACAGAGACCTCTATCCATCTCATGCATTGATGTGTGGAGCCTCCTGTCCTAGCTCAGTCTGACATAGTGTCTGGCATAAATATTTGTTGAAAATTGATGACAGTGATGACAATAAAAAAGTCTCTAAATGATAGCAGTATATTCCTTCCATACCTTATTTCATTTGATCCTCACAGCAATTTTATGAAACCGATAACAAATTTTCCTCCCTAATTTATAGATAAGAAATTCCATGGCTCAGTGAGATCTTGTAACCTGCTTGAGGACACAGTAATAGGTGGCAGAAAATCAACTTTATCTGATATCATGGCTTGTCACTTGATATTATGCTATGGTCTGCTGATATAAATTGTTTATTACATTTATTTTGTGTGTTGGGGAGTGCACATGTGTCACAGCATGCATGTGAAAGTCAGAAGAGAACTTGCAGGAATCTGTTCTATCATACGAGTTTTGGGGATCAAATTCAGGTCATCAGTCTTGACTGTGGGTGCCATTATGCTGGGTCATCTTACCTGCCCCATCTGATGCTTAAAGGTATAGTCCATGCTGGCCTCAAACTTGTGGTCTTCAAGCATGCGCTTGACAACTGGCCTGACTTATAATGTGTGTGTTCTATCACAAAGAAAGCTCATACTCTTCTGTAAAGGAAAGGACTCTGTTTTGTATTATCTATATTCCTAGTATCCAGAACAATCTTGGCATATATGCATACTAAAAAGAAACAATTATTCCCATAGGAATGGGGGTTAGAAAAGTGCAAGCTCACAATAAACTTTTTTGCATGAATTTTAGCAAGGATAAATATATAAATGCCTAAATACCACTAAATATATTCAGTAATTTACTTATTAATTCATTCAGTATGTACTACCACTCAACAAATAAAATTAAGCATCTGCTAAGTGGCAGGCACCTGATATTGGAAATACAATGGAAACATCTGACAGTAATGAGTAAGCAAATACTATAAAATAAAGTATCATGAAGAAGACAAAAAATAATTGTGGAAACAAAACAGCAGCAGAAGTAAGGTCCATGGTATGGTCTGAATGAGTTAGAAGCCATTGAGATCCTGGAGGACATCCAGAACATGAGGGAGGAGCACAGGGGGAGGTGTGCACAACTGTCAATGCTTCTGGAAGAACTGGACATATCCAAGACATAAGAAGGAGCTTGGGACATCCTCCAAGGAATGGTATATGTGTCCCTCACCATCCTAGCATTGCATGGTGGTCCTTTTGCTAGCTTTTATATGTCATGGTATGAAAGGCACACAGCCAACAGTACCTTTTCCTTAGTTTTGGTTGCAGGGTCTTTTCCATTCCCACTCTTTCACAATAAAAGAGTGTTCACAGAATAAAAACCTTGATATCTGCTTAATGAATGAAATTTTTTCTCAATTTCCCTCTCATAACTTGTATCTTAGGTACTGTTGAGTAAACGCAGGAGAAATATTACAGCAAATGTGAAAGGGGACATTTAACAAACTCAGAGGTTGGATTTAGTGAATGGGTGTGTCCCTTATGGGTTACTATGGAAAATTCCTCAAGCCCAGTTTGGCCAATGAGCCTGAGACTACTTGATTCAACACACAGCTCTGTTCCAATCCAGCTCATGTTCCAGAAAGACAAGGGAGTGAGTTTCCCAGTATGTTCTAAGGCCTGCTGTCACAACTTTAGTTCATTTCAATTAAAGGCAAGATGTCTTCTCATCACCTTGATATGCTAAGAGATGAGCTTAGCATTTTCCTTCTATTCCTTTCTCACCAATATGTCAGTCTCCAAGAGAAGCTGGACAGTGTAACGGTGGACCCGGCAGCCTTGATGAGGCTCATGGCTCAACATGAAAGAGCAGGCCAGGACAACTGGTACCCAAGTGGATTGAATCAACTTGTACCTGTCCTCATCTGATGCTTAAATTTCATGTGGATTTTGAACAAATAGTCAAACAAACATGCAGGACTTAACCACCACTTGAAAACAAAATGGAATCTACTGGAAGCATATTTTACACCCCAAATTATATGGAAAACTGCCTACTCTTTTTTATTCCCCTTTTCACTGAGAGATGCAGTTACTTTTCTGGATGTGGAAACAATGTCATTTTCTACCTGCTAGTAACATCAATTCTTAGAAATCAATTCCCAACCCCAGTTAAGGACTTGTTTTCCCATTTTTATTGAACTTCAAATACTTTCTAAATTGTGTTAGCCAGAGCATTGTATGTATATAATTAACTCAGAGGTCCCTCTGGGCTCATCTAGCTAAACTTGTGGAGCTTAACTGAGCAAGACATTTGCTGATGTCTCTCCCTATACTGACACCCATAGAAATGAACACTTCTGCAAGAGGAACAGGAGAAATTTCTTCCCCGAATTGCCTTTCTAGTGATTTGGGCTGCTCCATTAAATTATTTTGGTTGTTTCATAACAATAATGATCTCATTTTCTTTCAAATGTAGAATTTGCAATTCTGGGAAATGCAGGCAGAAGAGTGGATCTCGCCTTTCCTCCTCATTGAAGAACTCTCTCTCTCTCTCTCCCTCTCCCTCTCCCTCTCCCTCTCCCTCTCTCTTAATTGGATCCTTGAAATTCCCTTGGGGTAGCAGTGGCTTTCTTTGGTCCCAAGCTCCCTTACGGTTTTACACACCTTCTTGCTCACCTTCCTGAGCAGCCACAGCTGAGCAGAGGGGCTCCAGTGGTCTGTCCAAAACAAAATGCAAAGGACTAAGGAGAGTGGACTTCCTCACTGAAAGGCTGACTAGATTCGCAGTTCAGCCTGGTGCTTGTCTCTGCGGTGGAGACACTGATGCTTGCCTAACACCCGCCTTCTACAGTTCGATGTTGGACTGTGGGGAAAGGAGTTGGATGTGATAGCAGTCGCGAGTTCTGGCCCCTGCTCCTCTTCCTCGTTCTAGCACTGTCTTCTGCGATGAGCAACCCCGCTTCTCACTGACTACACTTTTGGAGGCTTCGAGCTCCAGTCCTCACCCATGAACTTCTAAATGGGGCCGCCCGCCTGCATCATATCCGGGTGTACAAAAGGGACCATGATGTGGACTTCTACCCAAAGGAACCTCCTTCGACCTGCTGTCCTGAATGAAGTGCAGGTGCCCTAAGCAAAGCGGGGAGCTAAGGGACTCCGAGAGCCAGCCTGACGCTACCCTTGGCTGCGTGACACCAGAGGAGGGGAGGTTCGAAGAGCACGTCCACGTTTTTTCCGGGGAACCTGTAAGCCAGGCTTCTCGGTGACCAGGTGTCGGTTGGCGGCTGCGTGAGACCCACTGCAGCAGAGAGCAGCCGCAGCCTCTGCCAGGGCCCCCACTGCTGCTGGGGAAGAGTCCTGGGGCTGCTGACGCGGTTGGGAGGAGCCTCGCCTTT